ATTGTTAGTTATTTGTCCTTAAATCTTGCTTCTTTCAGCAAAATAACCTATGCCAAAAATCTGTAGACACACAAATACATGCTCTGTTCTATATCATTGAATTCACAAAGAACAGGGATTTATTTGTTAAAATGTTTCACATAATCAAAATTCTTAACATGTTTCTAGAAAAATATAGGCAATTGTTTGTAGTCAGCCTGATTTTACTTGTAAACTTCACTTTTTAAAAACCTGTAAGATTCTGGTGGGGAGAAAATGAATGTATGCATGTAAAATCTCTTAGAACAGTGTCTGACAAATGTAAGTACTCAAAACTTTTAAGATATTATTACTATTATTATTATTTATTTTATTAGCTTTCTATTTCTTCCTGTTTTCTTTTACTCTGGGCTTTAATTATTTAAAATTAGTTTACCCTATTTGTGACATCACAATGACCTTGAAGTAGAGTGTCTGTCTCAGATAAATGGATGGAAGAATGAGTCATTGAATGAATCTGGGAGAGCACATGGCATGGTGGAAAGTGAATAAACTTTGGAGCCAGAGAGATTTGGATATATGTTAGTAGCTAAGTGGCCTTGTACAAATGACTTAACTTCTGAGCCTGTTTTTTCATTTATAAAATGAAAATGATACTCACCTTGTGGGAATGTTGTGATAGCATTGGAGTCTGTGCATCCTCTCAAACACAACTGAGAAACTCTGGGAAAGTACTCTGCACATCGAAGTGGGATAATGGTTTAATGGCACAAACGTGTGCTTCAGTGAAATTGACAGGAAGAAGAGAAACAAAGGAAGAGGCAGAAGTGATAATGCTTTCCATTTTTTGGTGCTAAGTTTTTGCTAGTTAATATTCTAAAATATTAGCACTCTTGCTCCTTGCATTTTGACAGAAAGAGGCTAGAGATGGCATTTGCCTCAAACACTAGGTCAACTTGACATATAGTGCACATCAGTTTTACCTTTTCTTTTTTTTTTTAGAGACTCTTTACTTCTGAACAGTATGATAAAATTCAGATTCAGACTTCATGAAATAAAAGCTATAATCATTATGTATTTCTTCCAGACTTTATACCGTAAGGCAGAAATGACCAAAATCAGGTTACAATACACTGATGAAATGATATTTGTTTAGCAGTTTAGTTTACAAAATACTTTTACATCCATTATCTGTTTAGTTTCTACAACTGCCCTGTAAGTCAGGTTATTGACTCCACTGTACTGATGTGAATGCTGAGATTCAGAGAGCTTAAGTGATTTGTGTAAAGTTGTTCATGGTTTACAAATGACAAAAATAGGATCCTTCCCCATGTTTTCTAATAAGAATTCCAGGACAATATTCCCCATAGACTGGTTTCAGGGAATTCATTCATTCTACCACAAATGTTACTGAGAAACTACCATTAGTTTTAAGCTTCTTGACTATGACTGTTTACATTATAAGTCAGTTCACACACACATAAGTATACAGATACACACATATTCAAATACAACAGCTATCCTTTTCACAGGCAGTGCAATGCTAGTGTTTTCTATTCTAACCTATTTTATTACATTATTAAACAGTGATCCCTATGACCTCCTAAGCTGATGTCACAACCCATTACTGAAACACGTTCTCCAATTTAAAAAATACTGTAGAAAGGTAAAGAGAGAATTTAAAACTTTGAAGAGATAGTCAAATAGAAAACTAAAGACAACTACAAATGTAAAAATAATGTGAGCCATCCTCAAATAAAAATGTTATTAGTTTGTAATTCATTTAATGCACAGCTGTTTTTCATTTATTTTCCTAAATATATGGTCCATGTAATAATAATAATACAGGTAGAAATGAAAATGGCCATAAGAAAGATAGAGAAAAAGTATCAAGAGAGTTAGTTACTTTAACCTGAGAGAATAAAATAAAAAGGAAGCTTTTTTTGACATCCTAAATATTATAAAGAGGGCTTATGAATTTTTTGAAGGATGAGTATGATTACAAGACAGTAGTGTCTATGTATTTGTCTCTTATTTGAGCATCATCATAATAGCAGCTATCATTCATTCATTCAACAAATCAGTATTTATTGAGCACTTGCTTTGTGCTAGGCACTATCCTAGGTGGAGGGAAGAAAATAGGTGAAAATCCCTGTCCTTGGGGATTTACATTCTGTTGATATGAAGCCGAAATAAACAAAATAAATAAGGAAATTATGTTATAGTTGGTAGGTGGTAGGTATTAAGGTGAAAAATAAAGCAGAGTAAGAAGATAGGGAATACCATGGGAGGGAGTGGCAATATTAAACTGGGTGATCAGGGAAAATGTCACTAAGATGCTGACATTTGAGCCAAGGTGGAAAGGAGGTGAGAGAGCCAGTCCCATAAATATCTGAGGAAAAAGCATACAAGGAAGAGAGAGCAGCAAGTGCAAATGCCCCAAGTAAGAAGCAACAGCAAAGACGCCAGTAAATGGGAATCAATGAGAGAAAAGTCACTGAAAATGAAGACAGAAGATGATGTAGATTTGATCACATAGGACCTTGAAGGCAGTTGTAAGGACTCTGAATTTTCCTCTTAGATAGGCTACTACTGAGAGGTATTGGGCAGAGAACATAGAAGATTGTGTCAAAATTGGTCTAGCAGCCCAGTAGAGGATAACCTGTCATGAGATAAGCAGAGAAACCAGATAGGGGCCATTTCAATCATGCAGATGAGAGATGAAGGTGGTAGAGTAGTGGCAGTAAGCAAGGTTTGACCAGACTTAGACCCAAGAGGAGGCCCTGACACACCGGAAGTAAAGAGTGAGGGGAAAAGAAGAGTGAAGGATGACTCCAAGGTTTGGCTAGAGTAACTGAAAGGATGGAGGTGGCACTCACTGATATGGAGAAGCCTGGGGATGGAGTAGATTTAAGAGCATGAGTTTGGTATTCAACGTGTTATATCTGAGCTGTGCAATAGCAACCCAAGCAGAGATGTTGAGTGGACAGCTGGATGTATGAGTCTGGAAATCCAAGGAGTGACCCAGGATGGAAACATAAATTTGGGGTCAGTGGATTATGGGTGGTATTTAAATTTATGAGACTGGTTGAGCTCCCCATAGAAGTGTGTAAATAAATGAAAGGAATGTCCAAGGACCAAACCTCAGGGCAGTCCCATTTTAAAAGGTCAAGTGCAAAGAAGAGGGAGATGCCAGGTATGATGGTTCATACATGTAATCCCAGCACTCTGGGAGGCCGAGGTACGTAAATTGCTTGAGCTCAGGAGTTCATGAACAGCCTGGGCAACATGGTGAAACCCTGTCTTTACCAAAAATACACAAAATTAGTCAGGTGTGGTGGTGTGCATCTGTAGTCCCAGCTACTTGGGAGGCTGAGATGAAAGAATCGCTTGAGCCAGGGAGGCTGATGTTGCAGTGAGCAGAGATCGCACTGCTACACTCCAGCCTGGGCAACAGAGCAAAACCTGCGGGGAAAAAAAAGATGGAGAAGGGATGGCCAGTGAGAGAGGAAAAACCAAGAGTTGGTGTCCTGAGCCTAACAGACACAGTAAGTGGCAGAGCCAGTTTTAACCTAGAGAGTCTGATTCAAGAGATTATATGGTGAGTTTCCTGGAATGTAAATGTCAATTCTCAGTCCTCATTGTACTTGACCTATCAACCATATTCATGATGGTGAATCACTCCATCCTCCTTGATACTTATGCTTCACTTTGCTCAGGACGTCAACTCTATTGGTTTTTCCTCTCTCACACCTGTGTGTATACATACACACACACACACATGTGTGCACACACATGTACACACACACGCACGCACACACATGCATGCACACACACGTGCGCACGCGCACACACACACACACACATGCACAGTAATTCCTATGCTTTTTTTTTTTTTAAGATGGACATCTCACTCTGTCACCCAGGCTGGAGTAGATATAGTAATTTTCAAGACCTCATTTTTCACCAATAAGAGTTGGCAAGGGAAATTAAGAGCATACATCTTTCTAAACTTTTGTCAAAAATTGTGTTAAAATCGAATTATATGAATCCCTACAGAGACCTAGGAAACATTAATACCACTTTAGCAGGTCAATCATTAGAATGGTTATCAAACAACTTTTTTTCCTCTTCATTGAGGCTAAAGATCCCAAGGATTTCCAATACCACCGTTTCCCAGTATTTCTCTCAGAGAGAGAGAGAGACAGAGAGAGAGAGAGAGAGAGAGAAATTCCAAGACAGAAAAGACAAAAATTACTGTTTGTGTGTGTAATTCCTTTCTTTTCTGTCTTGGAATTTCTATTTGCATAAACACACACACACATTCCCAAATACAAATTTCAAGAAACTAAAAAAAAAAATTTATATATTGTGTGAAAATAGTAGAAGTGTATTTCTTCCTCATCTGGTTATCCTATCAAACAATATAAGCAAATACTGAGGCAATTAGAGTTGACTCTCTTTCTTCCAGAAACACCTTTCTACTCTAAACAACCAGTGAAGGCTGGCTGAAAAGAGATTCCAGTCTTTATTTAGACTGGCTTTTTACATCAACTAAAAACCAAGGATAATGAAAATAAGTATCTCATAGGTGTGTTCTGATGATTATGTAACTTAATAGATAGCAAGGGCTTGAAATAGATCCTTGAACAAAATCAGCATTCAGTCTGTGTTAACTTTCATAATGGTGATGAAGATGATGATAATTAAGATGGCGATAACGGTAACAGTGATTATGCTGCTGGTGATGATAAAGATGAAAAATCAGATCTCTACTACCAACTGGCTATGTTACCTGGGGGAACGTCTTTTAACTTCTTGGTGTCTGTTTCATCATCTGCAAAATAAGCAAGCTATGATCAAAGAAATCTAAAAGAATGTGTTTTAAGTAGCTAACTTCAAATGTTTTTATTAGGAATTTTCTAAGTAAGTGGAGCAATGGAGAAATAAGGTAGTTTAAGAAAAAAAACAAAAAACTCTGCTACCTAAAATATCTCTAACTTTTGTTTTGTTTTTTACAGCTTCCAGCAAGAAATGCATCCCTGATCCTACAGCTATTTTGTCTCTCTCCTTTTTGACCACTGCCATCATCTCTTCCAAAAGCAGAGTATAAAGGAATCTTGTGGCTCCTTTTATTTAAAAATATATATATATTTAAATAAAAACTTTTTATTGGCCTTTTGGCTAGAAATGGAAATTTATTTCCCAGGAAGGATGATCCCATCATACTTCTGCTGAAACCAGTGCATGGCCTCCTCTTTGCTAATTCTCTTATGCCTTCCTTTGTACCCCTTTGCCTTATTTCAATCTGGGCACTCTAAGTACCCTTGGGAAAATCACTCTCCCCAGCTAGCAACTGATGCATTGCTGGCTCAGTCCCGCTGACTGTGATTGGTTTGTAACTCAGGCCTTAGCCAATCAATATAGTTCTTCTTCATGGACACAAAGATTCATGCTGGAATAGAAAATAATCCAATCAGAGCCTGTGAGATACAATCAGGATATTTTTCTGGAATTGCAATTGGGAATAGGACGGGAGCTTCTTTTCTTAATGAATATTAATAAAAGCAGGGTAGGAGCTTATAGCTGCCAGCAGAGATCCTGCCACCGGGAGAAGAGACCGTACCTCCCTGAGAAACACAACAAAGGAAGAGCTGAGAAATGGAAACAAACTGAGACCTGATGACAGTGTACAGGCCTCTGAATCCAACTTTACCTGAAGCTGAATACGCCAAGATTTTCATTACATAAATCAATAAATTATGTTTTTGCTTGCATAATTTGAATTAGATTTTCTATGTCAAGCATCAAGCAGTTGAAGGAGTTCTAATGAATACAAGGACTCTTCCTTAATTTTTTGATTTAGATATTCTAAATAGGAACAAATCAAAGAAGATCAAGTTAGAAAGCAAAGGACAAATTCTTTACCAAATGGAAAAGCTTTGAACCCCAGAGACTTAACCAAGGTGTGAATTTTCTTCAGAGATTTTTATGAGCATTGAAGATCAAGCTAGTATAGCCTCAGATGAGAAGATACATGGAAACTTGAGAAATAAAAGGGAAAGATAATGAAAGATGTTAGTGAAATCTTATTCACCAACAGTAACGGGTGTTGCATGCATGTTCCTAAGACATTACAAAAATTACAATTTAAATTCATATCTTAATTTGTAGAGAACTTGATGGCAAAATTAAGTCTTCAAAGCAAATTTAAATATTAGGAAAACATGAGGATATGTGTGAAGGTTAAAAGAATATGAGAAAAAAACACTGATTACAAGCAAATATCAGCAATATAGTGAGGTCTCATGTTCAAACTATGAAATACAAAGAAGTATAAACTGCTGAATTTCATAGCTGGAAATGTCCTCTAATGCTCCCCTCAGTATATAATTTAGGTGGGGACATAAGGTATTATTTAACCTTATCACCAAAGACCCTGGTATTGGTCTAAATCAAGTAAAGATGAGGGCTAGCTCTATAATATTGGATTTTGAAAGACCATGCTCCCTATCCCTTCCGAGAAGATTTGGATACGAAGCAGCAAAACTGAAAATCAGTTCATCTATTTACTCTCCATAGGACTTCCTGAATGGCCTGTGTCATGATCAGAGGAACTGAATGGGAATTAGCTACATAAAATTACCTGGCAGGGAGTTCAGGCATCTCTGCACTATCACTCTTTAAATTGGGATTTGAAATTAACAGGGCCAAATCACCCTGTCACCTAGTTGCAGTAGCCTCTGCAGCCAATAAAGGAAAGAATTTCTACAAAAAGACAATTTATGCAACGTGCACAGGGTCGTTGGCAGTTTGGTGGCTACCTAGTAGAGAGTCTTGGAGGCACGGCTCTGGGAGTAAGCTTTTCCAGCGAGCATCAGTGAGTCAGTAATGACATGCTATATTGGGAAAAGCCACCCAACATCTTAAATACATTTTTCCTGTGCCAAATAAATGAGCCATACTATGTACAAAGCCCTTTGGGGATTAAAAGTTGAGAACACTAGGCTAGATCTCTCATGAGTTTACATTCTCTTCGGAGAAATTAAGAACATAAGCAAGCCACAAATGAAATGCCAAAAAAAAAAAAAAAAAAAAAAAAAAAAGACGAAAATCAAGTTTTCTGTTCATTGCAATTCAAAAAAAGAAAGATTTCTTCCAACTGAGGTAAGAAGAGACACCAGGAAGACTTTAAGTAAGAGGCCACATTTGAACCAGGCCTTAGGGATGGGAGAAGGGGCAAGCAGAAGGAGAAAGAAACAAGAAACAGTATGTGCCAAGTGCATAGTGCCAAAAACAAGGCCAAATATTAAATGCCTGGAGCTGAGAGAAAAAGGTGATTCCTCTGGCCTATAGTTAGATAAAGCTTTCTATCAGAAATGAGGTTTTATTTAGAGGAAAGTAGAAAAGAGAAGCAGATATGGAATGATCGATGATGTGCAGCATAAGGTCAGGGAGCAGACAGGTCTGACAGAGAGCGAAGGGTAATGTGGGCTGGAGAGGAAATTGGAAGCCACTCAGTGAAGCTCAAAAGTCAGCCAAAAGCATTAGATTCCCAGGAGAAGTCATAATTTTCTGAGTAAGACAAGTCTCCTAAAGTGTTGACTCTCTAGGCACAAGCAGCAACAGCATCCTTTAAGAGCTCATTAAAATGTGAATTTTAGGACCTGATCCCAAACTACAGAATCAGCAATTGAACAAACTGTTTTAATAAGCCCTCTAGATGATTCAGCTATACACCAGCATTTGAGAACACTGTGACTTACATGATTATGACCCTTAAAGGAATAGCCAAGTTTCTAAAAATATAACTTAATTCTAACTCCTGCTGCTGTTTTACAGAACAAATCTCTGGAGACAGAAACTAATATGTAGGTACATGAGCTTGGTTAAGGATAAATGTACATAGTTCACATTCCCTCAGTCTCTCCCTATAGTCCAAAGTTTTTGAGCAAGAAATCTGTAGAGTATTGATTTAAATTGATTCAAAGTGTTTATGCAAATCTTGAGACTAGTTTTAGAAATTTTACTGTAATTTCTGCTGGGATAAATTTGTTAGGCTGGAATATCTTCCAAAGATAAAGTGGATGCTTGAATATGTGTAAAATGATGCAATTCCTAACAGAGACTTTGCTATAAGAAGTACTTACATCCTATAGTAATTTTATTAAAGGAATACATGCATCTCTCCTTTTCGTATGTACAGAAATATATTGTTTAACCTGAGGAAGTTGACTGAAACAGGAAAAATAAAAAAGGAAAAGCACTCGACCCATGTAATACTTAATTTTTATAACAAAGTATCCTTTTTAATATGCCTATTAGATTATCCTGAAGTTCTCTATTTACTCTTTTTTAAAAAATCCAATGAAGAAAATTTCAGTAGTTTGTTTTGCTTGAAGAATCAGGATTCTTGTACTGAGTTGTCTAATGATATGAATCAAATTGATTTACATTGAATGAGCTAGCTCTTGATTTGGTAAAATTCAAAAAGCATTTATTGAATTAGGTGCTTTCAGAAATACCAAGATGCAGCAAACATTGGCAACTGATAAGAAACTACACTGATGATAGGACTTGCTTTGTTTTAATAGTAAATGATCATGTGTTGTGCTGTGTTGTGTTGTGTAGTGTGGCATGTTGTGTGGCAGTTCACTTTTTCCTCCCTACTTAGGCTTCCTTCAGACAGCTAGGCCATCCCATGCGCACAGCCTAGAGGATAAATGAGACCAGGCATAGCATAGAAACACATGAGTCCACCCTACTTCGTTCTTCAAAAACTGAAGGATGGTAAAGAAAATGAGAGGAATCCAAAACCAAAGCTGTTTGAGAGAAACATTAAATATGAGTAATAGATTTAAGAAAAATACAGCTTTTCCTCAATATTTGCACAAGCCAGGAAGCAGCAGCAGACATGATGTCATTAGAATGGTCAGACTGGTGGTAGCCAGAGGTGGGAAAATGTGAAACACTGTAAGCGATCACCAGCCTAATAAGAGCCACCAGCACTTGAAGACCACCCATCTTTATTTAAGTGGGCACTACCCATCCCTAATATCAAGGGGTTACCCGGTTGCCATTCCCATTGGCATCTGGCAAGGACTTCCTGTGAACTGTCACCACCCATTCTTCTACTCACTTCACAGAAAGACTTTGCACCAAGACTTTTCTTAGTCCTTGTCCAATTCATTCCCACACGAATCCCCCTAGCTACTGCACTCAACATTCTGAAACAATCCTAAGACAAAAGGGAGACTGAAACCCTGGACACATATAGGTTCAGAAAAAGTAGCAAAGTGAGAGCCTGTCTCCCTTTTCCTCTCTCTCACCCTCTGTCTGTGTGTGTGTGTGTGTGTGTGTGTGTGTGTGTGTGTATTTATGAGGTGATGGTAGCAAATGAATCAATTTAACACCCTCTTCAAAACAATAAAAGAGTTCTTAATAGAAAACCTATTACAAATAAGCAAGGTTTCAGCTTCACTGTGGAGAGAAAATGAGAGTTCATGTATTGAAACTCATCCTTTTTCTAGGACCTCCAAGCTCTGGTAATGGTCAAAATCCACTTAACCCTCCCCACCAAACATTCTGAAATTCTTGCCATTTGTCTGAGGATGGAGAAGGGATTCCTTATTTAAAATGACAATAGTAACTACGATGATGAATTTGGCTTGAAGTTATCATTGCTTTTCCCATTCTCAACAGAGTTTCTGTCAGGTATCATGTGAAAATAGTTAACTTCAAGGCCAATCTTAGGAGTATACACTCATTAACAATACATGAGAACCAAAGACTTATGGTAGACCAACGGACTGTCCTATCTCATCTCTTTAAATACAAGCACATCTCAGACATCCTACTTAAGTGTTATAGTATTTTCTTTATGAAAGTTTAGAGTACCTCCATTTTTCCACCTCAGTATCTTCTAAGCATAAGACCTCAGAAGGAGACAAGTGAGTATGAACTATCTGCTCTGGTCTTACATAAGCAAGAAAAATCTATTATTGCCCATTCATTGTTCTTTACTTATGAATGAATCATATCTAAAATATTTACTGATGGCTGCTGATAGTCAAGGTACCGAAGTATACGGAAATTGGTATATGAATGACAAAAATTGAGTTTATTTTGTTTCCCACCCTGACTAGCTCTCTCTGCCAGATTGTCTATCTAATGACAATATTTACAGGTTACTTGGACTTCTCACTGAAAATAGAATGGTTAAGAGTGGGAACTAGTTTAGGACTGTTTTAATTATGCTCTAAGATAAAATATAATATTTAGACATCCTCAAATGTAATACGACATTGTTCTTTTTTCAACAATATATTCTTCTTAGTGACTGACACTTCAAACAGGCTTTCTTAATGATTTCTTTTTATTTTGATAAAGCAAAACTACAGGTGAATGTTTTGCCAGATGACTTCTCTTTACTTATATTCTAACATACCATATGTTTGGCACCAAAAGATCTTAGAAACCACTATGAAAAACGCTAGTATTTGAATTAGTTTTCTGACAGAAATGAAAATCTCTGTTGCATTGCTACCTGTCACTGGCTTTCTTAAACCCAGAAATGTTCATTTCCACAGTCTTTATGGCTTTTTGGAGGATCTCTAAGATTGGTCCCATAGCCTTGACAATTTGTTCCAACAAATCTGCTGCTGACTCTACAGGATTTTTGGAATCCTCAGTTTTTAGTACATCCTGTAGTTTTTTCAAGGTGTCTATCATAGGAGTTTTGGAAGGACCTGGACTCCTGATTCCCTCAGATGTGCTGACATCTGATTGCTCTTTGGTGTCTTCTGTATAGAAGTCACTTAATTGAAGATTCATGATGGGAAATTTCATCAAGCATGAAAGAGAAGATTCCAAACTCCCAAGGATGTTACTGCTATTTAGCACAGAGATGATGACTGGTGTACAGGCACTTTTGAATACTTCTTTAGCTGACTGATGCAACTCCTCTACATTGGTACTCTTCTCAACCATAGAGCACATGGCCATTGCAACCTTGGAACATAAAGACTCCTTTTGAATTTTGTCTTGTTTTGCATCCATTACAGATTGCATCTCCTTAAAAATTTTGAGCATTTGCTCAAAAAAATCCTTAAGGCTACTATTGTTTTTCACAGCCATCAAAAGGATTTGAGTATTCATATTGTGGTTAAACAATTCAGTCAGTGTGTTTGTGACAGAAGCAAGATCTTGTACATGAAAGAAGAACATTTTGGCAGCTTGAATCAGTCTCTCCTTATCCTTTTCTGACTCTGAAGACATTTCTCCAACAAAGAAGTTTCAGCACTACAAAGTAAAGCAGTAATCCAAATGAAAACTAAAAGTCAATTTGGCAACCATAAAGAAACTGAAAGTATAGTCTAAACATGAGGATAACTCCTGCCAAGGGCAGGAAAGCTATACAAACATTAAAACAAAAATGATATTGTGCTTCAATAAAAATAATTAAAACAGAGTAGAATAGTGTTGTATCACTGAATTTATACCACATAACAAATACGGCGTGCTGGATCCTGAAAATATCGATAGATTAATATACTGAATTACCCTATACCGCTTTTCACTCTTGCCACTCTACCCTGGGCAGAACCAACTTTCTCTCACTGCTTTGCCCCAAGGTGAGAAACAGTAGCCATGGGAAGAGCTGAAACTGTTTTCTAGCCAGAACTCCAGGAAAGGGGACCCCTGGGAATCAAATAGTGCATGGTAGACTGCAGAAGGAAGTAAAAATTATAACCAAAAAATAGCACTGTTGGGACTTTCAATGCATGTAGACTTAATGCATATGACAATTACACCATAAAGGAGAGACGGTAAGGAGACTCAGGTAGCTGAAAGATTTCTTGATTTTACTTAAAATGATAAAATATTAATTTTAAGTAGATTGTGTGAAGTGTGAAAGTATATTATAATCTCTAGAGTAACCATTAAGAAAGCAGGAAACAATGTGTCTATGGAAGTAGAGATGGGAGTGATGTGGCCCCATATTAAGGGATGATGACAGCCGGGGCTGGACGAGGCAAGGAATGGATTCTCCCTCAAGCCCCCAGCGGGGGAGTGAGATTCTGTTTTGACTTCAGCCTTCCAGCCTTGAGAGGGTACGTTTCTGTTGTTTAAAATCTCTACGTTTGTGGCAATTTGTGACAGCAGCCCGAGGATGCTAATACAGATTTTGGTCAATAGGCAAATTAAAATGAAATTTCAAAATTATTTAAGTAACTATTTATATTAGAAGATGGCTTGAAAAGGAAAACAGAGAAATTTTAAAAAACAGAACAGAAAACTAATAAAAGATGTTATACTCAATCTAAGCATATCAATAATTGCATTAATTATGGGTTTCTAGAACTAATAACTAAGTTTCATAAGGTTGAAAAATACAAGATCAAATCAATTGTATTTCTATAGAGTAGCAACAAAATGAAAATCAGAAATTAAAATTAAAACAATGACCTTTACAATATCATTAAAAATATGAAATGTTTATAGATGAATCTGAGATGAAATATCCCTACACTTACAACTCTAAAATATTGCTGAGAAAAATTAAGGAAGACCTAATTAAATAAAAAGATATATATTGTAAATGGGCCAAAACACTCAATAAGCTAAGATGGCAGTACTCCTCAAATTAATTTATAAATACAACAAAATTCCAATTAAAAAATTCCAGCAGTTTTTTTATATATGTAAAAGACAACAAATGTTCTCTTAATAGAATTAAAATAGAAGTCAGCAAAGAAGATACCTGAAAAATTACAAAATACTGTGAATTAAACAACACACTACTAAATAATTTGTGGGTCAAAAGAAGTCACAAAAATATAGAAAGTATTTTGAACTGAATGAAAATGAAAATATATCAAAATCTGTGGGATGAAACTAAAGCAGTGTTTAGAGAGAAATCCATATATTAAATGTTTATATTAGAAAGGAAGATATAAAATGAACAATTTTAACTTCTAGCTTAAGAAGTTAGAAAAGAAAGAGCAAACATTCAAAGTAAGCAAAAGGAAAAAAATAATAAAGAATAGAAATCAGTGAAATTGAAACAGAAAAACATAGATAAAATCCAATAAAACTAAAAGGTGTTTCTTTGAAAAGAAAAAACAATAAAATTGTTAAACTTTAAGCCAGATTGACCAAAAAAGATAAAAAAAAAAGGAGAGAGAACACAAATTGCCAACATAAAGAATGAGATGCCACTACTGACCCTTCAGACATAAAAAGGATAATGAGAGAACACTATGAACAATTCTGCGTGCATAAATTCAACAATCTAAATGAAACAGAGCCAATCCTTAAAAGACATAAACTATGAAAACTCACCCAAGTAAAAATAGAACACTTAGATAAATCTATATTTCTTAAAGAAATTGAATCTGTAGTTAAACACCCTCTAGAAGAGAAAACTCAAGGCATAAATGGTTTCACTGGTGAATTCAAACATATAAAAAAGAACAATTCTACACAGTATATTCCAGAAAACATAAGGGAGAATACTTCTCAACTCATTTTATAAGGCTACCATTGTAGAAAAATAAAAAAACTCTAGACCAATATTCCTTAAGAACATAGACATAAAAATCTTCAACAAAATATTATCAAATCCAATCCAAAAATGTATAAAAAGAATAATACACTGCAATCAATTTAAGGTGTATCCCAAAAATGTAAGGTTAGTTCAACATTAAAAATCAAACTAAACAAGAAAAAGCACATGATCATATCAGTAGATGCAGAAAAAGCATTTTTAAATATTCAATTTTCATTAATAATCAAAACTCTTAGCAAACTAGGAATATAAGAAAACTTTCCTAATCATAGAGGGCTCTTACAAAGAACTACAGCTAACATAATAAAAGACTAATTGCTACCCCTCAGGATCAGGAATTAGTCAGGTATGTCCACTTTCACTAGTTCTATTTAATATCATACTGGATATTGTAGAAAGTGATGTAGATCAAGAAAAAGAAAATATTCCAATTGAGAAGGAAGAAATAAAACTATCTCTGTTTGCAGACAACATGAAATCTACATACAAAATCCCAAGAAATCTACAAAAAAGTTCTAAGAGTTAAAAGTAATTTTAGCAGACACAAGGTTGGCATTCAAACACCCATATTCACTAGGAATGAACAATAGGGAACCAATATTTTTATAAGTATCATTTATAATACTCTCAATAAAATTCTTAAATATAAATCTAAGATATGTGCATAATCTGTGCACTAAGATTCAAAAAAAATAAAATTCTGAAGTAAAAAATCAAAGAAAATGTAAATAAATTGAGAGACAAACTCTGTCCATGTACTAAAAGACTATATAGCAAAGATGTCAATTCAAACTCTGTCCATGGATTGGAAGACTTATATAGTTTAGATGTCAATTTTCCCCAAATTGCTCCACAGAATTAATGCAATCACAGTAAAAATGCCACCAAGATCCTTTGTAGATACAGAACAGAATTCTAGAATATATATGCAAGTTAAAGGAACAAGAATAGACAAATATTTTTCTAAAGAAACAGAGTTAGAGGACTCACACAATCTAATATTAAGATATACCATAAAAATACAGTTTTTGGTAGTTTTGTATTGGTGATATGTAGACCAACCTAACAGAACAGTGTTGTATTGACGATATGTAGACCAACCTAACAGAACAGAAAGTCTAGAAAAAAACCACAAATGTGGTCAGTTGATTTTTAACAAAGATACAAAGGCAATTTAATACAGTAAGTTCAGGGGTTTTCACCCTAGAAGAAAATCGAGGCAATACCATTTAGGACTTAGGCATGGGCAAAGGCTTCATGACAAAAACACCAAAAGCAACTGCAACAAAAGCCAAAACGGAAAAATGAGATCTAATTAAACTAAAGAGCTTCTGCACAGCAACAGAAATTATCATCAGAGTGAATAGGCAACTTATAGAACAGAACATTTTTGCAATCTACCCATCTGACAAAGGTCTAACATCTAGAATTTATAAGGAACTTAAACAAATGTACAACCCCATCAAAAAGTGGGCAAAGGATAGGAACAGACACTTCTTTTAAAAAGACATTTACATAACCAACAAACACATGAAAAAATAAGCTCAATATCACTGATCATCAGAGAAACGCAAATCAAAACCAAAATGAGAAGCCATCACATGCCAGTCAAAATGGTGATTATTAAAAAGTCAGGAAATAGCAGATGTAGTAAGGCTGTGGAGAAATAGGAAGGCTTTTACACTGTTGGTGGGAATATAAATTAGTTCACCCATTGTGGAAGACAATATGGCAATTACTCAAGGATTTAGAACCAGAAATACCATTTGACCCATCAATCCCATTATTGGGCATATACTCAAAGGAATATAAATCATTCTACTATAAAGACACATGTACATGTATGTTTATTGCAACAGGATTTACAGTAGCAAAGATATGGAATCAACCCAAATGCCCTTCAATGATAGACTGGATAAAGAAAATGTGTTACATAAACATGATGGAATACTATACAGCCATAAAAAAGAATGAGATCATGTCCTTTACAGGGACATGGATGAAGCTGGAAACGATAATTCTCAGCAAACTAACACAGGAACAGAAAACCAAACACCGCATGTTCTCACTCATAATGGGGAGGTGAACAATGAGAATACGTGGATACAGAGAGGGGAACAACACACACCAGGGCCAGTTGGGAGGTGAGGGGCGAGGGAAGGGAACTTAGAGGATGGGTGATTAGGTTCAGCAAACCACCATGGTACACATATACCTATGTAACAAACTTGCACATTCTGCACATGTATTCCTTTTTTTTTAAGAAGAAATAAAAACAAAAAACAATTTTTAAAAAAAGAGAAAGAGAGAGAGAGAGAGAGAGAGAGTTAGTTTAGGGTTTTTCAACAAATGCTGCTGGAAAAGCCTGATACCCATATGCAAAAATATAAACCTTGATTTTTATGTCATACCATATACATACATAAATTAATTCACAATGGAACAGACATAAATGTAAAACCATAAAAGTCTTAGAAGAAAATCTTGTAACTTTTGGTTAGCCAATTAGTTCTTTGATATGTATGACACCAAAACTATATAAATTAAAGAAAAAATGATAAATTGGCTGGGCATGGTGGCACATATATTCTTAGATGTATATTTAAGTATTTTATTTTAGCATAATCCCAACACTTTGAGAGACCGAGGTGGGCAGATCACTTAAGACCAGGAGTCGGAGACCAGCCTGCCCAACATGGCAAAACCCTGCCTCTGCTAAAAATCACAAAAA